CCCCCCCCCGGATAGAGTCTCCGTCCCTCCACCCCCCCCAGCCTCAACCAGCCAGGATTCTGCTCACAGAGGCGTGGCCAGCATGCACAAAGAGGCTTCAGGACACAGACCTGGGGCCTCATCATGTGCCTCCAGCATCCCAGAGGGTTGCATACTGCGGTGCCACTGACTGGCATGTATTTATTTATTAACTGACAAAATAAAGAAATATTTATCATGGACTATATGTTGTTTTGAAATATGTACATGTTGGAGAATGGCTAAATTGAGCTGATTAACCTATGGATTAATCGCATACTTGACGATTTTTTTTCAGGTGAGAACTTGTGCTCTTCTTTCCCCACATCCTTTTACAATAATATCTTTGCATAACTCATTTGCCAACATCTTCCAGAAGGAATTCTTCCAGGGTAGTTGTTGGTAGGAGGTACTGTGGAGAGAGCTCTGGAGCTGCCCTCCAGACCATCTGGATTCTCCATCTGACGTGTGAGTGGGTCTCGTCCTTTGGCCTTCTCGTTTCCTCAGCCTCAGCTCTGCACCAAAAGGCAGCCACAGTATGGGATCTCCTCCCCCACTGCAGTCCACAGTCTTTTCCTGACAAACGTGGCTTTTCTGCTTGACTCTGGCATGGGTCATCATCCTGGCTTTCTCCCAACCAAGCCAACTCAGGAGCCTCACTGCCGTCCAGTGCTCCCACTTTCTGTTGGTACTGACGAGCTTCATTGGCTTTGCCATTCAAAATGTGCCCATATCCTGTGGGCTGGCCCAATAGCCTGGTAGTTAAGGGAGCCAGATCCTACGTAGCCAGCTGGGGTTTGAATCCCGACCCTGGCAGCTTGAGAAACATGCATGTGTGTGCATGATCAAAATCTTGACCGGATGGGGAAATGGAGGAGAAAAGATTGCAGCAGGACCACATTGCATGCCTAGCACTCTATCTCTGCCAAGGGCATGTGCCTGTTGGGAATTTTTTAAAAAAGAGAATAAAAAGACGTGTGCCATCCTGAGCTCGGAGCTGCGATGCCTGGCGTCCACACCCACCCCACCACACTCCTAGCCCCCTTCTCTGGGATGGTGTGCCTGTGTCTACACACCTCCCTTCTATTTAATGGTTACAAATTTCAGAAGTGTCTTCAATTTATCAAAGGTAGCATGTCTGTCTCTGTATCTCTTTTTCCTGGTTGCTTTCGGGTACTTTCTTAGAGGAGAAGAAGAAAACGACAACATTTTAGAGCGAGGTTTTACAATGAGTTTTGAGCAGGGAATGGGTGGTGGGACCTGAGCGTGGTAGGATTTGCTGGCTGACGGTCAGAGGAGGACTCACAGGGAGCATGGACAACAGCTGCTTCCGCTTCTTATTGCAGGACTGGGAAACAGCAACATCCCATTTCCAGGGACTCTGTGGGGACCGAGTGGTGTCATATATGTGCAGAGCCTGGCATGTAGTGTTCTAGTTCATTGTCTTCGTGATGACCCTGTGAGGTGTGTACTCCAGCATCATTGTGTTCACGTGACAGGGGAAGGAACCAAGGCCCAGAGCTGAACAACTTGCCCCAAATAATGTAGCTTGTTCTCAGTGAAGCAGAATTTAGAGCACGAATCTTCTACTACTGCACTCCAAATACGTGTTTCCAGTTCCCTCTTCACCAGAACTGGGCAGGCTGCTTGTGAAACTGTGCAGACAACCTCGGTTGTGCCTCCCGGACTTGAAAGCGAGCCACTTAGGCCTAGATCTTTGGTCAGATTCGTTACTAGGTTTCCAAGCGTTAGAGGAAATTCTTTTTTGATAGAGCCAGACTGAGCTACTCACCCACCTGGCATTAGTTCATAAAGAGGAAGAGGCAAGGGATGTGACCTCTGGGTAAATCCGCCCCTGCTCCAGCCAAGACGCCCCCAATGTCTTCGGGTATGAAGAATGAGGTCTCTTTTCTCATTCTTATTTTGTTAAGTTGATGTCACATTCACTGAGATTATGCAAGCATTATTCAGCAATGAGCTCAGGAGTGTACTGTGATCATGTTTCCTTCCTTGTACAAATTTTCATTTTTCCTGGCATTAATCAATGCCTGTCTTTTGTTTGTTTAATTTTCTATGTATCTGTTGCTACTCAGACTCTTTCATGAATATGTAAATTGGCTCTCCATATGTTTTCCACATGGTTAACAGCATCTCTAATCTAGGAATTTCTTTCCTTTTACTCTTGTTTTCTAGGAAGGTTTTTAAAGTTTTGTTTTATTTTATTTATTTCTTCCACGAGAAAGAGAGAGACAGAGGGGGAGAGAGAAAGAGAGAGCGGCACAGAGAGACACCCCTGCAGAGCCTTCTACCACGACCTACCCCCAGCCTCAGTCAGCCTGAACCTCCAGGAGGTGTGCACACCCAGTGTGCCCAGGGAAGCCTCTGCCGTGTGCCTGGGACCTTCCTGCGTGGGTACAGCCTCACAGGGCACTGTGTTACCTCTGAGCCACCTTGATAGCCCTGCTTTCTTTACAGATACCTCCTCTCTGCTGTGCTTAAGAGGCTGGCTTCCTTTTTTTTTTTTTGAGAGCTTTTTGCTATAGAGCGTGTGCGCTCGCCAGAAAGACAGAGAGAGACAGAGAGATAGCGAGAGACAGACACCAACACCTAACCTCCCCAGGGGGGATGGCCATGCCACAATCCTTTCTCCTCCATTCTCCTCTCGGGATCTTGGGCACACATGCACAAGCGCCTGGCATGAGTTTTAAGCCACCGGGTCCGGGATGCGAACCTTAGTTGACTACATGGGAGTTCAGTGACATTAGCCATTACGCTAACTGCTGGTCCCAAGAGGCTGGCTTCTTATATCTCTGCCCAAAGTTTCTCTTCTTGTTATCTGGGAATTCCCTTGGCTTCTCTACCATATTGGGTCATTTTCCACTTTCTTAGTTAATTCACTAATTTGGCCATGATCTGTATTCTAGTGGTTTCCTTAGGTGAACTTTGGAGACGCCGACCGCCTGTTGTGAAATGTGCAGTCTGGGGCTGAGAAATGCGCAGTCTATGCTTCCCTGTCACGGCGAAGAATTGAAGCACAAGGGAACAAGCTGCTGAGCACGCGGTTCATCGAAGGAAATGATGTATGTCCCACAAACCGAATGGGCCAGTGTCAAGGTTGGCAAGCTGGCCCTGACGCCTTCCTGGGGTCCCCTTAACCCTGTTTTAGACCCTTTGTTGATCTAAAATATGTGGCTCAGACTTGCTTTAACCTGTGCTCCTTTTCTGGCTTGTTCCTCATTGTCGTGCCTTGCAGGTCTCATGACTCAGGGCGTTATTTGAGTTAGATGGATGTCACAACACAGACCGTCACGCAGTCCCAGCTTCCAGTTTCGTTGTGCTCCAGGTTAGTTCCCTGATCTGAATCTGCCTCACCAAGCTTATCATCCCCAATGACTCCCAACTGCCTGATTGTCCAGGAGTAGAACCCGTCACCGGGGCCAGAGAAGACCTTGGCTATGCCCAGCAATGCCAGCAGGTGCAGGCTGGCCAGCAGGCGGTGTCAGGGACCGGTCTCTGAACCGTGGGGCTGGACTGCCCATGCCCGGATGCCATGTGGCTCTAATGTTCTGTGAGCTGGATGTGAGACCCCAGCGTGGGAGAACACGGAGCAGCGATGCAGTCCAGCCCCAGTGTGTGCTCTGTCCTGGCCGTCCACGCTCACCTTCAGGGAACAAACAGTCCATTCCATCACCTAGCCAATAGTAGATTCTGCCAGAGCACCTACCTGCCTTTGGGGGTGTCTAACCCGGTCCAGCTGGGACCCGCGGAGGATCCAGACTCCCTCCTCTCTCTGCCTGTCTTTGATCAAGCTCAGGGTCCACCTGCTGCCCTCTAGGGCTCTGATGGCAGCACAGTCCCGTATGGTTGTCAGGAAAGGAGATCTCTGAGAGCGTGGGCCCTGGAGAAGCCTAGGAGGGCATTTTCTCCCTTCTCTGCGCCTTCCCAGGAAAGACCTTCCAGGGTCACCTGGGCTCCCTGGCACCTTGGCTGAGGTCAAGGACCTTCGTGCTGAGAGCCCAGCAGTTGGCAGCAGCACAGTATGTTGTCTGGCCTGTGGGGGGCTGTGCCATGGCCTGGCTCCTTCTTGCCAGCTAACTTCAGCTCCTCCCTGCGGGGTCCGGGCATGCGCTCCTGGGGCAGCTCTGGACTTGTTTCCTACAAGGTGCCAGCCGTGCCCTCAGACTGGGCACATTCAGAAGCCCGGCCCCAGTGGGAGAGGTGGACAGCATGATCTCTGTGCCAGCACTGCACAGTGCAGAAGGGGCACAGGCCCTTTCTAGGAGCTCAGGCTCCCTTGGAGACCCCCCGACCCACCACGAGGCGAGAAGGCATTGGTTGCTTGTCTGTGCACACCACATGTGCAACTGGCTTCAAGGCTAGGGGAAGTTCCTGAGGAAGTGTGGGAAGGTCTGGACAGACTGGGCTTGGGAGAGTGGAGCATGGTTGGCAGGGGCGTGGCGTGGACAAGGGGACCTTGGGACAGTTGAAGCCTGGAGGTTTAGCTGTGGGTGTGTCGCTTGGCCTCTCTCCTGAACTGTCATCTCATGCAGATTACTCACGGACCCATGAATTGTTATTACTCTTTTTAAGCACACTTAGTTATCTCTTCCATGAGAGAGACAGAGAGAGAAAGAAGCATTCCAGCTGGGTCTTCATACAGATCCACTCCCAGCCTCAGCCATCCCGGGTCACAGGTACGCAGGCATTCACCCTGAGGGTACAGAGCGATGCAAATGCAGGCC